AGGAAAGCTTCATTTCCTTAACGCTGTACAACTAGTGTATGAAATGTCTGAACCATCAAAGCTTAGTATCTTTGAATTGTAAACTTGTGTAGGCATGAAGTCTCTTTGGTAGGAGATTCATTGACATCTTCCCAATGTGTTTCAGGGCTATTGATATGTTTATATTTTTATCCTTATTAAGTCAGGTTGAGCAATTTATATTTGTCGTGTTGTAGAGATTTCCAACTGTAGTAACATGCATTTGTAGATCATATTCTTATAATATCTCAGATAAAGAATGTGTCTCATTCACCTATCTTAAGCAATTTACCAAAGATTTGTCTATTTAGTAAATTTATTCCTTTTTCCAGAAAGCTCCAGAAATCTCCCATCTTGGTTTTTTGGGTCAAGATTATTGCCAGTAAACAGCAGCCAGCCAAGGTCCTGCTAGCTGCTGCGGCCCAGCCCATTCTGGGCAGTAGGTGTCTTCCTGAGGACAGATCTATCCTTACAGATGGGTTGTGCTTTCCACGGATTGTGTGTTCTAGTCACAAGGGCTTTATTGTCATTTCTTTAATCTTCAGTAGTAATCTGTAGTTAATTTTTTTCCCCAATAATCTCTCCAGCACCAGAGAGCCCTGATACTTAAAGTGTCTTACTTGTCTCATGCCAAGTACTGTACTCATTTGACTTGCACCCCAATTTCCTTGTTCCTATGTAGTAGGCATCCCCTAAGTGGGATACAGCTACATGTAGTTGAAGACATTTGCTTTCTGTCCCCATCCCCATACACACTTGTGGGCTTTGTTACTACTAATGTCATTTAGTGAGCAAAGGACACTGCAGCTCATTTATAAATGAACTGTTTCTTTTACAGTGCTCATGCAGCAGGCTGACCACTCACAGGATGTGGGATTTACTAGCCAGGAGGAACATTTTCCTACTTAGTTTTATAGTTTGGTTGCAAGGAGGCTGGTAATTCTGGAGATCCCAGTCTTGGGTGGGGATACAGAGGTAACTGGCCTTGCCTTGGGGACCAGGTGAGTGGGCTGGCCATGGTGGGTACTGTGGGGAGATGACCAAGGGCCCTTCAGCTAAGAAAGCTTTGTGAAAAACCATGTACATTGTCCTACAGGAGCCAACCCTGGTGGTCAACTATGGTGAGATTGGGGGTTTCACCATACATTTAAGAGCAGCTTTTATTATTTTTGCCTTGTTGTTTGTTGCTGACTTTTCCCCACCCCCTTTTATCCTCTGGGTCAGTGATGGTGGACCTTTTAAAAACTAAGTACCAAACTGCAACTTAGAACTCACTTATTTATCACAAAGTGCCAACATTGTAGTTAAGCCTGAATACTGAGGTTTTAGTTTAGAAAAAAACACCTCATACAGTAACATCTTTTGTTTTAAAAATCCAATAAAACATGTGTCATAAGCTTGCCACTTCTGCTGGTCCTTTGTAATTAGTTTTAGGACATCTCAGAAGTTTTATTTTATTACATGTGAAACTTACATTAAATAAATTTCTATGCTTTTGTGCCATGAATCTTTTATTATGGGAGCCTCACTCACGACCTTAAGGAAAGGTGGAAGACAGATGCTTTAACTTTGTGTAGGCGACTACTTCCTAATTTTAATAAAACTCTCTCAAAGGCCTTGGAACAAGATCTAGGCTGACATTGGAGAGCAAACCCTCTTGCAGGCCCCCTGCTCTTACCCTGCTCCCTTCTGCCCCACAGAGGGCATGCACAGGGCTCTTGGGGCTCTTTCTTGGCTGGAGAGCTTCTGTCTGCTTTTTCCCAGGAACAGCAAAGGTTTCCTTCCATGCAGATGGCACACATGGTGGTCTGCCCTAGACATTGCAGATTTCCTTCAGTGAGCAGCAGACAAGTAACCTATTTGGGATGTTTGCAGGGCATTTATGCAGTTTGTATCTTATTTGCATATCTGATTTGCTTTTGCTTGGGTTATTTCTAAATCACATTTTTATGCTCTGAGTTAGAAGTGGGAGGGAGATGCAGTCCCTAAGCCTCAGGTGTCATGGAAAACCAGTACTTTATCACTTCTCTTCTGAATGATAATCTGCTTATGAATATTTGAGAGTTACTTACCATTAAATTCTCTTATCCTCAGAAACCTATCTTTTCTGCTCCCCTTCCCTAGTCTCATTTATTGCCACAGTGTGCTGTGTATCCACTGGCTTCCTAGGGAAATAAAGAACCAGTAAGAGCTGATTGAAATTTTTCAAATGCATAGAAACAGCAGGACTTGTATACAGTGATTGGGTGTACTCTTCCCTGACAGTGGCTTGAATCAAACTAGGGTGTGTGTGTCTCTGTGTGTGTGTGTGTGTGTGTGTGTGTGTGTGTTCTTCCTAATTAATGTCTTCTAATTCTCCCCCATCCTGAACTAATTTCTGATTAAAATGTTGAGTGTGAAAGCCTTATATTCATTGAGAGTTTTAAGTAAATGGTTTACTACCACACTGGCAGGGATTAAAATGCAAATCCTCTTGCTCAGTGGGTAGGACCGGTGTTTGACATACCCTTTTGCTGGTGGGGAAGAATCAATAGCTGATTAGTAACTAGGGCTCATCAATGGAAATGGCTTCATCTCTATGCACTCAGGCGGTTCTGTTCTTGGTGTGATAGATTTTGGGCTGTAGAGTCTGGGTCAAAAGGAGCAGCTTGTTCTCTCTCACAGTCCACCCTGTGTGGTATGGGGAAGATTCCTGGCTTTGTGGCTTCGGTGGGTTTGCAGCTGCCTCACGTCTTGCTTGACTGCAGTTGAGTTAGGATGAAAACTCCATTCCTGCCCAGGAGTGAGGGGAGAGGCACCTACACAACGATCAACTGAGAGGTTCTGAGGGCTACTGCTTTTCAAGGGAAGCTCTCAGTGGCTGCAGATCCTCCGCTTCTGCTTCTTTAGATCAGTTAACTACATTCGATGGTGGTGAATTTTCAGCGAATTTAAGACAGTCTGAAAACTGTGACTTCCAGTGCGGTTGTGGGTGGAGTTAAATTGTAACTTAAAAATGCTGTCACACAGATAGCATTTTATTGGCGTCGAGAAATTAGATGGGGTAGTCAAAAACAAGAGGGAGCCTCTTTGGTCTAGAGCAGTGCCAGTCAGTACTGTAGCCAGTGGCCACCAATGGCCAGTGAGCACTTGAAACATGGCCAGTCCCAACTGAAATGGATTATAAAGATGCCATGTGCATTGATTATTAAGAATTAGTGTAGAAAAGGCAGTATAAAATAACTGTTTAATATGTGTAGTCAAGTCCAGATTGGAATAACATTTTGGATCTTAAAAAAAATAAAATCAATTTCCCCTATTTTTTCTTATTTGCTTGCTGTTAAAAATCTTTAAAATTATAAGTGTGTATTTCCACTGGACAGTGCTGGGTAGGTTTTCATCCTGCTCTTCCTGTCTATAGGAGAATTTTTCCTGCTAGGTGAAGGAACAATGGTACGGTATTGTGTTCCTGGGTTCTCGATGCTCTTGGCTAAATATTTCCTGTCTTGGAAGTTGTAAGGAGGCAGCTAGTAAATTTTTTCCACTAGAGGGAGAAATGTTCCTGCTTCAGGAAGTTGGGTTAGTGCGTCAGCTTCACTGGTTACGAATATACTCTTTTAAAAAAAGAAGAAAAACAAGCTCAAGTTTTTGCTCTGTTTCCCTTATGAATAGTTCCAGTGTTTCTGGAGGTTGCACTCTGTGTGATTGTGAAGCTAACATAAGCAGGAGGCTGAAGCTTTCTGCTCTCTCATTGATGAATCCAGAAGTTGCAGTAACTTGTCATTTGTTTTCTGACTGTTTTGTGGACTTGCGTCTGAACAAGGCAACACACATATATGCACACACACGCATAAGGACAAGGTGGCCTTGCATGGAGCTGTAACAGAGAGATCCAGTCCCCTCCTGCAGTCACAGTCCCTCCTATGTGGCGTATGATGTGGTGCCTGGAGCTCTTGGGCTGTACTGTGTGGGACCAGGCAGCGGGGAGCAGTGCCCTTTGTGTCCCCAGGAGCTATATGTACTACCTGGGGCTAGAGCTGGTGTTGCCATTGCCATCTAGTGTGCATCAGTTTCCTCGTGAGCATCCTTTGAACACAGCATTGTTTCATGCTTGTGTTTCAGTGAAGCATTTGCTCCTGCTTACTTTCTGGGCAGTTCTTTTTCAGCTTCCTCTTGTAAATGTACTCACTGGCTACCAGATGTACTCTTTTGAGTGTCCTTTGTTAGCCTTTCCTCTGCTTATCTATGCACTTTGTCCCTTTTGAAGGGATCTCAAAGGCTATCCTGTTGGCTTTGTCACCACCCTGGTACTGTGTCTTTATCTCCAGTTTAAGACATTATTTTGAACTCCACCCATGCTCACCCCGCTGCTACCCATGGGACATCGCAGACCTAAACATTAACCTCTATTAAGAGCCTTCCTTCCCACATCAAGGGACTCCTTAGCATAACTGTAGTTTTTTATTTGCGTCTTGTTCCCCATATCCAGTGAAAGCCATGCCAGCCTTATTCTGCTGTGTTCCTAGCGCTCACAGTGGGCCTAGATTAATGATGGAATGTTTTTGTTTTGAAACAGTTGTGTTGTTTACTTATAAATGCTCATTATTACCCGGATGTTTCTATTTTATTATGTCTACATTCTATTGTATGATAGAGTCACAGTTATAATATTCTGTAGCAAGGTCTGTGTAAAAATTTTAATTTATTCACTAGTCCCTCTCAATGGTTCTTGGTGTTGGGTGCTTTTCTACCTTGATCCTTTCTTTTTGTGACCCTTCTTACACATCGAAAGGGTCATTTTTCACAGCCCCTTTGTGTGTTTTCAGGAACTTAGGTCACAAAAAGCTTGGAAAGAGGTCGAAGAGTCTGGCAAGTTCCCTGCCTGTACTTTGTTCACAGGCTGCTTTTCCTGGATGTATTCAGGTTTCTTTAAGTGCTTCTGCTGTATAACCAATCTGTTCTTATTTAGATTTGTGACTAATAGAGATTGTTTTTCTTGTTAGAACATGAAGAGGAATTGGATCAAGAATTTGAGCTGGAGACGGACGCTTTATTTGGAGGATTAAAGAAGGTACAAGGTGGATAATGATAAACCTTCTCAATTTCCAGGTCTGGGGATGTAACTCAGTGGTAGAGCACTGGCTCAGCCGTGCAAAGCCTCTGGTTTGATCACCAGCATTGCCAATAATAGAAACAAAAGCCCAGCTGATTCCAATAGTTTATATCTCTGTTAGATTTGGATTTGACCCAAATAGTGTATTGTTGAGAACCAATTAGTAATTAAGCATATTTTCTGTTGCAGAGGTGAGCGTTAGTGTGCTGTATTGGATGAGGCATTCCCCACAGTCACTGTTTTCTTGTCCCCTATCTTAAGGCACCATTGGACTGTGTTACCTTATCAATTAGCTTATCAAATTAGTTTCCATTTTGGTAGTTTTCAGAAAGTCCCTTGTTGACCTAGCCATACCCGTTAAGATCAAGCATGACTCTAGAACATCCCTACTTCACCAGCTCTTGGCTGTGGTTGGAATGCATGCTCTGTACCCTGCTGTTCACACCGCTGAGGTGCAATGCTGGGAATTCCTGGCCTTCTTTTCCCTGCCACTGCTGTGGTGGTAGCTGACAAACCTGTCTGATAATACAACTCGTTTTGCTTGTTCAGTAGGAGGCAGAGTGGCTGTTGTTCAGTTGTAGACCTTGTGCCCTTCTGATGCAACGGGTAGTGCTTCTGTGTCAGAGTATGTTGCAGGTAGGTTCCACACCCTCCTCTTCTGGTGGAGAGAGGCTGGACCACTTTTTTTCCCCATTACAACCCTTTCTCTGGGATTCTTTTCAGTCTTTTCCTTTCTATTTTCCAGGACCCCATTTCAGTCATTTCTTGGACAGTGGGAGGTCATGGTTTGGGGCTCATGGTTTAGGGTTCAAAGCTAATTATGAAGTTATTTCTACATGCTTTTGAAGCAATCTTAAAGCATTGATTTTTATGACTTTTACTGTAAGTAGGTACCGTATCAGGTATATCACAAATTCATTCAGTTTTTGTGTGCTGGCTTGGGACATAAAATAGTGCTTCAATTTCTGAACATTCTATTTTATCAGTGGAATTTAGAAGAGAATTAACTTCCAAATTGGGCAGTTCATGTACTGGTACTTTTCAATCTTGACGGTTGGAGATTTTGCTTAGAGTTGTAACAAATGTACTTCAGTTTCCACATGAGGTAGACTCGCCGCTTTTGCAGCTCTGGCTCTGTACAGAAGGACTCTGTTAGCTGGAAGACCCATGCATGGCACTAGGATAGTTGTCCTGCCTTGCTTAGGTGCCTTTTATGGCTTTTTGTTTTTCTTGTTGCTCTATTTACTGGATATTTCTATGAAAAATTAGGCATGAATTTAATTTGTATTTATGGGATCCATTTCTAGATTTTTTTTTCCTATAAGCTCTTTTTAGAATTGTTAGTAGCAATGTAAGGTGAGTAGGCCTGTGCCTACTTCAGAAATGAGGAAACATGGAAATTTGAGGTGTAACACATGGCTCTGTGAGTGTTTCGGATCCACTATTTAGAAACATAGTGCAATTGAATTTCTTACGACAACCAAAAAATGATCATCTGTTTTCCTATTCAGAGTCTCACATTGGACATTTCAGATACTGACGTGCTTGCCAGGGGCAAACATAAGCATATCTATTTTATGGCAAGACTTTTAGGTGAAGAGATGCTATTGTGAGGTAGTACGAAACATGAAATAGGTCGTGATACGTTTTGGAACTACTGTGGGTCTTATTGTCAAGAACAGGCAGTCCTCTGGAATGTTGTTGCATCTACACAGTGGAGCTTTGTCTTCACCAACTTACAATCCCATCCTCCAATGGTCCAGCTGTCTTGACACCCTGCTAAGGCTGCAGAGCCTGGGGGCATGGCCTTTTCTCTATATTCTCCATGACGGACCTGTCACAGGGCTCACTGGGGAGGAAGGTGATGTTCAGAAAAGTGCACAAGGCACAGGGACACACCCGTGGAGCCCCAAGGATGCTGCCATTTTGTCATCCTGACAAATTTTGGTCTGTCTGTCCTTCTGACCACTCTCTGTCTCTGACCACTCAGCTGTCTACTCGGTGCTTAGTAGCGGGCATGTAGGATGGGTGATTCAGAGTCCTAGAATTTACAGAATGAATGCTGAGTCCTCATGGATAGCCAGCAGAGGAGGGAATTGACGCAGTGACCTTAGGTTCCAGACATTCCTTGCTGAATGGGGTCCCTTCTTGGAGCCTGTAGCAGGGGGCAAGCAAATGCCACTCTGGTCCACATTTTAATCAAAAGAAGAATTTGACACAAATGGAACGGAAATCATGAAGTGGCGCACAGTGGGGAGCTTGTGTTATCTGAACAGCCCATTCTTAAATGTTGCTAACCCTTGGCACTGCTGACATTTGGAACCAATGAGCACTTGTGAGGGAGCGACTGTGTCTACTGCAGGATGTGGAGCAGCCCTGTATTCATCCTCTGCCCAATGTCATGACAATGATGTCTACAAGCATTGCCAAATGTATCCCTCCAGGGATAAATTCACCCACTTTTGACAACAGACAGTTTGTAGAAGCAAAGAAGGCTTTGCCCCCTCCCTTGCTTGTGCTGATTTGTCACCTTTGTTCCTCCTGGTTCTCCATCTGGATAGTTCCTCCCTACCTCCTTTTTGGGCATTACAACTCAGATCTCAGCTGGGCCTCCCTGTCTTAAAAGCATTGTCTGAACTTCAAAACTAGGCTTCTCTGCGGTTTCCACAACCACAGCTTTTCAGTTGTTTCTGTGCTCAGTCCATGCTGCCAGCTGGGAACAGTGAGGAGCCAGGCAGACAGGGTTCCGTGCTGAGGTTTCCTCGTGGGGAAAGATTAACAATAGATAAGTTAACAAATGTAGCAGCCACAGATGGAGCTAAATTATGTGAAGGTATATTCATTCATTTTTCCATTACTATAAAAAATCATGGAGGTTGTCACTGTATGAAGGAAAGGGGTTTACTTTGGCTCGCTGTTGTGGAGGTACAGTGATAATTGGTTCATGAACTTCATTCATTCCATGATTCTGGGGAAGACAGCTGTGGTTGCCTTAGTTGATGTGGCAAATGGAGGCAAATTTTTGCTGACTGGTTCTGCTTGCGAACAGAAGTGTTTGTGAACCAAGTGCAAAGTGGAGGGGCCTTGACTGCTGCCAGGCTTCTCAGTGGCTGAGCCCCAGTCCCAGGGCATCACGTGGTGAGGGACAGTGAGCACATATGTGCCTGGCTGTCTCTTCCAGCCTCTTTCCCTGTTATAAAGCTACCAGGCTTCAATGAAGGGGGATCCAGCCTAATGACCTCAACTCTTCCTAATCCCAAGACCCCACTTCTAAACACTAGAGTTGGACTAAGTTTTTATCCTCTTAATAACGCGCAGTGGGAACTAAATTTTAGCATCACTAAGGGGACATTCAAACCATATGTAACCTTGGCAAAAAGAAATAGATCAGTGGGATACCTGTAGTAATGCTTTGGGTATCATGTACCCCATTATGACACAGTTATTTGTACAGTTTTATTCTGCATTATCCCTCCCCACTAGATAGTCAATCTCACAAACAGGGCTGAGGTTTAATTATTTCTGTGTCCTTCCACTGCAGGGAAGAGTGAAGGCATTAAAGTCATTGCAGCACCCTCGGCGAATGCCTAGTGGATGGTGGTGGCCTTGAGGGAAGCTTCCTGTAGCACAGGGAAAGGGAGCTGGGCCTGGCTGCAGCCCTTGTATTTCAGTGAGCTTGGAGTTTTGAGGGTCATGGCCTGCATTAGGAGCACCTTTGTGCCATGGCGGTTCCTTGGTGTGGTGCCTGCTGTCACGGAGAAGCAAGTGCATGTGCACCTGTTATGGCTCCATGAACCTTCCAGGCCTTTGGGCCTGCGGCTGAGGACCACTTGCTCCACCGGCCCAGTGGCTTCCAGTGGCCATTGTTCCTGGGGGCTTGTGTGTGGCCCAGGGCCTTGCCTCCTTGGCATTGCCTGTCACTGCATTCCGCAGTCTTCTTTCTCTTTTTTCTTGCTTGTCTTCTCTGCAGTGGTGCTAAGGAGATAAAGAAAACAGCTCAGAGTCTGTCTTCTTTGCTCGATGAAGTGAAGAAGCTTTTAGATAACATGGGCTGAGTCAAACTAAAACACACAAGCTCTGGGATGTATTGTGTTAAGGTTTTCTTTTTATTTTTGTTTCTGAGTCAGGCTACTTAGCATAATGGAAAGAGCTCAGATTTGGAGTTGTGTGGACTTGAGTTCAAACTTGGCTTTACTGCATCATGGGAAACTGTTTACTTTTTCCGAGTCTCAGTTTTATTATCTGGAATGTGGGAATGGTAGGTTATGGTTGTTAAACACCGAGCATGTGTGTGCTCGGTACAGAATAGATGCTTAATGCATGGCGTGGTTACTGTCTTTCCTTTCTCCCTCCCACTCTTTCCCCTTCCTTCCTTTCTCTGTTTGATTTTTCAATGGATGATTATTGCCTTGATTTAGCAGTAAGAGTTGTTGGGTGGTAATGTTCTACAGAGAAAACTTAAAGGGAATTACTGCTGAAAGGGACCTCCTGCTCCTTACCCTGATGTCTTGGGAGTGCTGCAAGCAAGAAATTCTTCCCTCCTCTCCCAAGAACATGCTTTCCTGAGGCAGGTTTCTGAAGTTAGGGCATACGTGAACATAAGCTGTTGTTTCAGAAGTGAAATCAGAGAAGACTTCACAGTGCCTGTGAGAAGACTAAGGAGGAATGACAAGCACAGAAGAGGAAACCTGATGATTGATGTCTTTGAATATAGAGAAATAAGAGGTACTTTGCTAAGTACGGACATGGCTTTTAGTTACTCAAGCTTTGCCTACCATAAATATGTTAAGAGTTAGTCTATCTATAAATGCCTCTTTATTTCAATACTTTGAAAAAGTAGCATAGCTGTGTCTTGATTCATTTAACAAATATTAAGTGCCTGTTGGGTAAGAGGCCACTGAGCCACATGCAGGTGCTGAGGCTGCTGTGACATTCCTGTTTCTGTTTCTGTCCTTTCT